TTGCGGTAGTTTTCAAATATATCAAGATCTGTACAAGTTTTTTTTTTTTTTTWAATATTTGTGTTTTGTATATGTAAAACTTATGCTTTCTTGTGCATGTCCACGCTGGGTGCCATGGCACATGCCTGTAATCCCAGCAACTTCAGAGGCTGAAGCAGGAGGATCCCAAGTTTGAGGCCAGCCTCAACAGCTTAGGGAGAACCCTGTTTCAGTATAAAAAGTAACAAGGGATGTGGATGTAGTTCAGGGTTAGAACACACCTGGGTTTAATCTCCAGTACCAAAAAAAAAAAAAAAAGAGAGAGAGAGAGAGAGAGAGAGGGAGGCAGGCAAGCAGGCAGGGAAGAGCTGTATGCATATCCTAGTCTCATGGTGCCGTATCTTTATTTACCTTCGGAGGCAAAATTAAAAACTTACCTACATACAGTTGTGAACTGGCTTTACATATGTTTTCTGAATCATGTAGAAAAATATTTGTAGTTTTAATATTAAAAGCATTTCTTTTTTTTTTTAATCTTAGTTGGGAAACTTTTTTTTTTTTACTTTATTTTATTATTTTTTTTATGTGGTGCTGAGGATCAAACCCAGGGCCTTGCATGTGCCAGGCGAGCGCTCTACCGCTGAGCCATAACCCCAGCCCCTTAAAAGCATTTCTTTATGTGATTGTCTTGTCCGTTTTTTCCAGACCGGTCGGAGGGTGACAGATCAGAAGGCTCTGGTCAGGAGAATGAAAATGAAGATGAGGAGTAAACCACCTCTATTTGGCAAGCACTTGGATGTTCTGGAATTTATATAAGACATTCATTATATTTTTCCTTTACAGAACTTTAGTGCAATTTTAAGGTTATGGTTTTTGGAGTTTTTCCCTTTGGGGGGATGACCTGACATTAGTTTGGAGTGAGTGTGTGCATGAATTTGGGAGAGTGCGTAAAACAAAACACAATGTTTTTACAGCTTTCTGCCATGTGTGAGGAGTGCTGGAAGACAAGGTGCAATACGCTCCCTGACCTGCAGGGGGCTCAGGACAGTGCCGAGGGTCCTTTTCATTGTAGGGAGAATGCGGGTCAAATAAATTTCTACACTTGCCGTTTGCATGTTTGTCGCTTTGTAATTAAAGAAGTTGGTTGTTTTAAGACATCCTAAAATGGAGTTTTTATTGAATGCCTTGCTGTTACCTGCCTTTTCCAATCTTTCTGTAATGAAAAAGGACTTTCTCTATTCTTTTTAAATTTAATAACATTTTTCTTTTTTACTTCAGTGGGATGATAAAATCACACTAAAGGCTTTTCACTTCTCTTTTCAAAGCCCTTGGTCTTTGCCTGTGGTCGTCCTCCCACGATCAGTGGTGCCTGGTGCACTCAGTCACTGAAGCAGCATGGGTACAAGCTGCTTCTGAAGGTGCTGGTTTCTGGTTTTTTACCTCTGTCTCCAAATTCCAGATTTCACTGTAAGCTGTTGACCATCCAGAGTTTTTGTTTTGTTTTGTTTTGTATTGAGGGGAAGGGTGGTACTGGGGGTAAAAGCCAGGAGAACTTTACCACTAAGCTATATCCCCAGAACTTTTTATTTTTTTATTTTAAGACAGGGTTTTGCTAAGCCTGCCTCAGACTTGCAATGTTCCTGCCTTAGCCTCCAAGTCATTGGGATTACAGGTGTGCGCCACTGCACCCAGTGTCCCCTTCCCCTCTAGCAGGACCGACATAGTTTACACCTAGGCCTTTGTACCTTAGAGGTTATGCCCCGAAACTGTTCCTGTAGGCTTAACCCTGCAGGCATCCTCCCTCCCCATTTCTAAATTTATTCTATTGGTCTTTCCCTCAGTCTAATTGTATGTCACATCTCCTCAATCCTTTTACAAAATAAGGAAAATCGTTTCTTAATACCAAACTATTCTCTCTTTATATACTTTCTAATTTCTCTACTCTGGTTATTATCTAAATGAGCACAGCATATATATCTATGACTTTTTTGTGCTGGTTTCCTGATGTCTAAAGCCTCTCAGAAGCTGGACTTGCCAGGTGGGGAGAGGGGCGTTAATCTGTTGTGTCCTTGGGGTCAGAAAATCAAGTACGGTAGAGTGGTTGTCCACTATTCACTGGTTCAACAGGATAATTTCAAAATCAGTATCTCTGTCTGTCTGTCTCTCTCTGTCTCTGTCTGTCTCTCTCTGTCTCTGTCTCTCTCTCTCATGCATACACACACACACACACACACACACACACACACACACAGCATTGCTGTTATAGATTTCTGGGATAACATGTTGATTCTTCTTTTCTAAGAAGAAGATAACTTGAAACTACAGCCTGAACTCTTGGAACTGTCTCCCTGTAGAGGAGAGCAGCAAACCCACAGCCTCTCTGTGACGATTCCCACTAGCAGCTATCTTTACTGGACCTCCTTACCAGCCAACAGTTGGAGAAGAAATAAAATTACACACTTGGATTACTGTTACTCACCTGGAAATAGCCACCCAGTGCTGCCAAAATTATATCCGTGACATGGGAAAGAAATGTGGAGTTGTCAGGGTCAGAGCTGTAGATTCATGGACCTCATCCATCAATGCCAGCACCAGCACCACTTGCTCTTGACTGTACTCTGGAGGTGGAAACCAGACCCTCGATGGCTGCATGGTGACCAAGAGGCCAGTGCCAACATAAATCTGATAGACCTCCATGGTCAATTCAAACAGAGACCCCTCCTGGTTAATGCTTTTAGTGTGTTTGCTGTAACGGCTGATTTTTTTTTTTTTTTTTTAAGAGAGAGAATTTTAATATTAGTTTTCGGCAGACACAACATCTTTGTATGTGGTACTGAGGATGGAACCCGGGCCRCACACATGCCAGGCGAGCACGCTACTGCTTGAGCCACATCCCCAGCCCACAGCTGATTTTTTTTTAATCAAAAGTAATACATATCTTTCCGTTTAATTAGCAGTAGTTTAAATATACCTTTTATTTTCAGAAATCTAAATATCCTGGGAAAAAAGGGACTGAGACATAACCTGTCTTCAGCTGGGCCATGAACAGCCTCACTGTGGCCAAGGAGAGCCTCTCCTGCCCCTGAAGTGGCACAAGCCCAGAGCCACCACCTGCCAAAAGGAGATGGTTAGCTTTGTGAAGCAAGGGAAATGGCTTCACCATCTGGCACTTAGTGGACAAAGCCACAGAGGTGTGTCTGTTATTCAGCATGGCGAAGGGTCAGAGCCTTAGCAAACAGGTTAACGACGCCACGATCCCTGGAGGGTACCGTGGTTYTGGTTTCTGGTTCTCAGCTACTTCTGTGCCCTGCTCAAGCCTTTTGTTTTCTTTGGGTTTTGGTGGTTCTTCTCTGAAGCAGGGGTGATTATACACCCTCCATCCCATGTCACAGGGGRTGTTTTAGGAACACAGCACACAGTAGGTGTCACTTCTTCCACTGATAAAGCAGTAACATGGATATGCTGTAGAGGGTGTAGGGAAATCAAGAGGACAGAGGCTACTGAAGGACTCAGGAGGGTTGAGAGCAGGAAAAGTAACAGAAGAAGGTCAAGTGGCTTTTCTCCACCCGCACAGGTGCTGATGGGGAGGCTGTGGCTGGGGGAGGGCGAGAGGTACAGGACTGCTTTGCACAGTTCTCCTGTGAACCTGAAACTGCTCTGAAAAAATTTTTTAACTTGTCAGAGGAATTAGGACCTCTGTCCATAGGGAAACGACAGACACTCGGTGACTCAGGATTAGGGCAAGACATGCAGGGAGGCGGCAGTGAGAGGAAGCGTTCCATAGAGGCCCAGGGAGYAGGTGCCAGCCACATCAAGATTCAGGGCCGGGGGAGCGAGGCTGGACCCTGGGGCTCCCTCAGGAAACAGAAGGTGGCTTCAGCCGTGACAGAAGGGTCAGGCAAAAGTGGTGGGTTTTGTTGCTACATCTCAGTGATATGATCTGCCTCTCACCCTCTTTGACTTTGCTTATGGGACAGAGAAYACGTATCTGTTGATTGATGGATAAATGATAAACCACTGATGTTCATTAAATCTCCTTTTAAAACTTTGGGGTTAAGAGTGTTTTTTGTGGCATGCTGAGAATTATTCGTTTAATGATATTCCATGAATGTAATTGCCATGGGGAGTTATGAAATGCATGAATGGGTATACCTGTTGAGTAATTATCTGCCCCAGAGTCCTCTCCCTCAGGGGAGGCTAGAGATAGGAACAGGACTGCAAAACGGGGAGGGGAGAGGCACCCAGAATCATCCACAGGCCCAAGTCCCAGTACAGAGTCACAATTTCTACCACTATACATGTACCAGAAACACATTTAATCAGACAAACCTATTCTAAATAACACTTATTTATAAATATTGATTATAATCCTAACATTTTTCTTCAAAAAAAGAAAATCCCAAAAATTCAAGTTAAATGTATTTCAGGATTAGTTGGGCTTTTTGTTTGCAGTGCAGTTTTTAACACCCAGTGCATTCAGGTGTCCATTGTCAGAACACAGTACAGGACTGTCCCTTGGGCATGTGCAGACACTGATGGACAGGCACAGCCTGCGCTGTGCTCCKTGGGTTTTGACTGCCAGGAGTTGGGGTGATTGGCATTGGTTCATGGCATCTCAGAATGGTGGTGTGGAGGAAAGGAGGAGTGTGATACTGCTCAGGAAATGCCTCTGAGGGAAATTTATAAAAGGAACACTGGCCAAAACTGTGTTCTTGGTAATCTTGTGCAGATTTGGGTTTGTGCTTTGAATTCTTCTCAACAAATCTAATTGCTTTCCTTGGGTCTTCAGTTTTTGAGATCAGGCTGCAGATATTAACACCTCCCATGCCCTTTGGTTGATGGTAGTTCTTTCTGCCTACCTTACGAAGCCTCTGGCCTGTTCTGATAACAGTGACTGTTTGTTTTTTGTTTTGGTACCAGGGATTGAACCCAGGGATGCTTAACCACTGAGCAACATCCCCAGCCCTTTTTATATTTTATTTAGAGACAGGGTCTTGCTGAGTTGATGAGGCTGGCTTTGAAAGGGCGACCCTCCTCCCTCAGCCTCCCTAGCCACTGGGATTGCAGGCAGCTATCACTGCACCCAGTATTAACAGCGACTTTTAACTATCCCTCATCCTCTGGGGCTACAAAGTGAAGACTCCCTCTCTTTGTGGAGAAGACCTGGAGTTTGGCCCTGCTTCTGGCTTAACTCTTTGAGACCTCAGGCAGTTTTCTTGGGCCTTCCTGGATTGTTTGTCCCCTCTCTGACCATAAGGATGGYGCTGGTCTGCCCCTTCCCATCCTCATTTATGGCTAGTCATGGCCATTTTTCCAAGCATCAGGCTGAGACTGACTTCCTCTCTCTTCCCTGTGGGTTCTGTGTTCACTGCAGGTAGCAGCATGGATGCCTGTCTCTGCCTCCTCCCTCAGAGGCTTGGAGCTCTGGGTGCTGTRACTAAAGAGCCACAACCCATCAAGCCTGCCACTGCTGGGGAGACTGTCCTCACCACCTGAGGAGCACTTCCCAGCGAGGATGCCCCTGCTCTGTARAATTAAGACCATGATTTGGGACTCATCCTCTCTCATGGTCATTCAGGGCGACACAGAAGCACGTTGTCTTTGCAAAGAGCCATTCGCATGGGGGAAGGGCGTTTCTAGTAGAGGCTCCTGCTCCCTCAGACTCCTTGGGCTCCTGGTGCTACTCAGCGCTCCCTCCCTACCTCCCTGTTGCCGTCCCCTTCCTCACAGTCCTTTTATGCTGCTCAGCAAATGACAGCTGCCAGCACCTCCATTCTAGGATTAAGTTATCTTTCAACAACTTCTCACTTTTTGCCAGGGAGACCCCTGTAAAAGGAACAATCCGACCTGATCSGGGAGCGCCCGAGGAGAAGAGCCACTGGCCCTGCCCTCCCACAGCCTAGGCCCTCCCTGGGTGCTTTGCCCACGTTCCCGTCATCCCTGTGAGGGACTCCTCCCTAAACTCTTGTGTCTCACACAGAAGCAGATTCCAGAACTTTGCACATGAAACCAAGCAGCTTGCCCAGAAGACCCAGCCGCTAGGCGGCAGCCTGAGCACACCACAGAACCCCAGCATCCTGCTGTCAGCACTCAGTCCCTCCCAGTCAGTGCACTGTTCCTCCCTCTCCTGCTCTGGCCCTGTCTGCCTTGGCCTGTTGCAAATATTGAGTTAGTGTATTGGTGGTTCGATTCTTTGCAGAAAGACCCCAAGCAGCTCTGCAAATGAGAATCAAGGAACCTGAGCATCAGGTGGTCCTGTCTTGACTCTCCACCCACTGCTCCAGGAGCTGTGATTAGCTTAGGGTCACACAGCTGAGCAGAGGTGGTAACTAAATGAATGGGAACAGTGGGCGGGGAGGATCAAAGCAGGGTGGCCCTCAGCCACCAGTCCCCTCATTCTCAGCCATGCTGCTGCCACCTGGCGTCTCAGGACCTGAGCTCATCTTCATGTGGCCAGGGAAAGGGCCAGGTGCTGAGCTGGGTTCCTCCGCGTGGGGCCCTGTGCCTCCTGGGCCACAGCAGCCCCCACCACTGGCATCCAGAGCAGCACAGGGCCGAGCCAGGTGTAAATCTCAGTGAAACAAGCAAAGACTTGCAAAAGCCCTACAAGTTTTCCCCTTTCAACAAAGCCAGAAGATGTGGGTCTGGATTTTTATTTTTGTTGTGTTATGTTTTTTTCGTGGTCCTGAGGATTGAACYCAGGACTCTCATGCATGGTAGACAAGCACTCTACCCTTGAGCTACACCCCTGCCAGGACTGAGGTTTTTAAATAAAAGTGGCCAGATGTCCCACCTGCACTGTCCGTGGGTTCACCACATATGAGCGTGGGTTTAGCCGGGGGTTCTGAGCTGCAAAAGCAGTGTTCTCCAAAATGCTTGGGGACTGTAAAATGTTCTTGCCCCCTGGTGCCCACACACACATCCCTCTAGCTCAACCGAGCCAATCTGAATTTCTGAATACTGCAGAATATGGTTCTAGTTRCCAGACATCCTTCAAGACAGCCGCACTGTCACCAATTTGGGGGTCTCCATAACTCCCTGGTTGGAAATACCCACCTCTATTTCTAGAATCACTACTTGACTTGTATTAGAATCACATCTCCCAGGTATTTCTCCCAAAATTAGGGAGAAAATACTCTAGTGTTCTTGGCCCTAGCACCTAGCTTGGTGCTTCGCAAACAGCAGGTGTGCAGTGTCCAGTAGAAGAGTAAAATGAATGGACCTCGCTCAGTAAGGAAGGTGAATCCTTTTGTGAGATGCAGTTTTTCTAGGATAATTCAGACTAAATCCTACTGTATCCCAGCTGGTCTGTGGTCAGCAATGGGGGCTTGGAGTCTGCATTCTTTCCCTAGAGCAGCATAATCAGGGGAGCTTTCTTCAGCCCTTGGGTCCCAAGCCAGTTTACTGCACTCAAAATTCCCTAAACAGGAACTCATTCCATAGGTAAGGTTCTGCCCTGTTCTACCTCTGTGCATACTAATCAGGAATATGGTCCCTTCTGAAACAGGACAGGATACACRCAGATATACATAGAAAACGGACGCCACCTGGCAGCGGGAGCGTGGGCTGCCTGTGGGCCAGCAGCGGAAGCCAGTGCACCTGCCTTGTTGAGGTCAGGCGCTATGAGGTGGCTGCCCTAGGCCTCATAGAAGGTCTTCCGTGAGCTGCAGGGCAGGGACCAGCCAGCCACTGGTATCTGCCACACGGCAAAGGCTGCCTCTCCAGAGGATGGTGAGACTCCCAAGGGGCACACTTTGGAAGTCATCCACAGCAAGTTCTGGAAGTACCCCTGCTGACCAGGGCAAGGGAGAGTCCTGAACTTGGCTTAGGTGATCACCAGGCAGAAGGGCAGCACAGGAGGGGGTTCACCACAGCAACTACAAGCCCACAMTCCAAGGGCTGATGCAAATCAACAGGAAGAGAGGAACCTGGCCACAGAAACACCTCACCACTGTGCCTCCACCTCTGGGGCCACACCCTCCTCCTCCCTCACTCTTGTGGCTGGGCACTCCATCAGGGCTGTGCTCCAAACAGCAAGCCACACAGGCCATGGCCAGGGCGGACTGGCAGTGCTTCACACCCATCAGGAGCTACACCCAGGTGTACCAGTTTTGGTCTTGYGCTCCACTTCCGAAGGTTTTGTCCCTGTATCTAATTTATCAATTCAGCGATATCATAGAAAAGCAGAAGCTAGAAATGATCTCTGAGACCGCAGGTCAACTCCCCACTCCCCTTTCCCATTTTACAAAGGATGTCGAGGGGCGACAGGGTGTCCCATGATGTGGGGGCCGAGGCAGAGCTGGGCCCAGGACCGGGCCCAGGACCAATTGCCTAGTCCAGGTCCAGTGCCTTCTATCCTGTGCTGCCCCCAGGCCACAGGAACAGGAACTTGCTCCCAGGAGTAGCCGTGTGGCCCCGAGGCCAGCCCTTCTCACAGGGCACTTAGACAGGACCATCAGAAACTGCTTTCCTACTAACAGTGTCTGTTTCTTGGCTTGGCTTGGTGCCACAACCCTAGTCAGTCTCGGTGACGCACTGACCTGTCCTCACCAGATGTGTTTGCTTGTTGTTAAATTCTGGAAGTGGAACACTTGGTACCTGCCTTTTCTGTCTTATTTATAGTGGTTTCTCCCTTCTTTTGAAATACCAAAGAATCTGCCAGTGGGGAGGTGGAGGGTGTCCTGCAGCCTGTGGGCCAGGTCCTAACCAGATCCCTGCTCCTGGATGCTCCCCGTGGACTATTGGGTACCTGTGGCTGCCCCATGCTGCCTGCCTGGAGCCCACAAAGCCCAGGACAAGCTGCAGGTTAGGGAGTGCCTTGCTGTGCTCSGCCACACTAGGCCGCTTCTGCCCAAGGCGTCAGGGACAGTGTGCGGCTGGACTCCTGGTACAGGTTGTGAAGAAGAGAAAAGGRTCCGTGCAGTGGTCTCCTCCAAGTCCCTGCTCCTCCTACGGGCCACACCTCCATCTGCCCGGGGTGCTTCAGATGCCTCTGGTTCTGTCACTGGGACCTAGAAGCAGCCGACACACATCTCACAGCAGATACTGAAGTCACAGACCGGTGCCATCATTTTCAGTCCCTCCGCGGCTGCACACCAGGCGCTTCCTTCCCTGAGCGTGATGACATGTCCCAGGCCCTGACACAGATGGCTGGGGACTCCGAGAAGGCCAGCACCCCTGGCTCCATCCAGCCCAGCCCTTCCTGAGGCCCTCATCTCTCTTCTGCAGCTAAAATGTTCCCCTCTTCAATGCTCTGCAGCTGCAGCCGCTGACTCGCAAGAGCCCTGCTGCCTCGACGACCCCCGGGGCCAGCCCCTGGGACAGTTCGTGCTGAGAATAAGACACCCGGCAAAGCCTCCTCCCCAAATAAGTTGATTTTGGCCTCAGCCTCAATGGCTCTAGCCAAGCTGGCTGCATAGCTGTCCAAGGACTTGTGTACTTCGGCTTTCACATGGAGGACAGAGTTCCGGGCAGCTTCTGGGGAGAGGGCAGAGAGAAGTTAGCAGAGGGCCAGGACCAATGGCTGTGCTGCAGAGGCGGCTGCAGCTGCCCTGCCCTGGGAGGGGAGGCACACGGAGGTGGCAGACGCCAGACTCCCCAGCTACCATCCTGGACTCCCAACTCGCTACCCAGAAACTCTGGGAAGTTACTGAGTCTGGCCTTGGTTCCTCATCTGCACAGAGGAGGGCGCTTACTTCCTAGGGTCTCTGCAGTACAAGTGAGTTCCTTTCAAGATGCTCAGCCMTCTGGGAAGAGCTCTCTGCCCTTCCAGATCCCCAGCTTCGGGTACCATCCGTGGCTGCGACCACCACAGACCCAGATGCCAGCTCTCTCCTCTCCACATTGCTAGAGCTTCCTAAGTCATGGGACCTCAGGGTGGAGAGATGTTAAGGAACCCTACCAGGATTGGGACCACTGGCGACCGACACGAACAGGACAGGGAGGCCGCTCCTCAAGTCACACCCTGGCCCGACGTCACAGACGCACTGCCTTTCTCATTTCCTAAGGAGCAGCAACCTACTCACCCCCTGCCTTTTGTGTCAGCACGGATCACACTCAGGGGCTCCACCACTGAGCTGCATCCACTGATCTTTCTTTTGAGACAAGGTCTCAAGTGCTCATTGGGTGGCTGAGCTGGCCTTGAGCTTCCCGATCTCCTGCTCAGCCTAAGTCAGCCTCCTGAGTGGCGGGGACTCCAGGCGTGGGCCATGTGCCCAGCTTACATGCCACTCTCCAGGAGRGCAGAGAGGAGAGGACCGGCCTCCCTGCTCTGCCCCTCACGGGGCAGGGGTGGCACCCTGCCAGGGCCTTCTCTTTCAGGCCTGCCCTCCCAGGACGCAGGTGTGAAGGGACAGGTGGCCCTGGGTGGGATGATCATTTCTGTAGAAATGATAATTATGAAGCCTGTGCGGCTGCTGGTCCACGCTCCGTCCTCGACTCTGTGCAGTGGATGACTCGGTCTCTTCCTCGCTGCCCTGTGTGACCACCTCTGTGTTCACTCTGAATTCAGGCAGGACATTAATTGTGTAGAGAGAAAGTAGAAGAGATGAATGATGCGCTACAGACTCTGCTAGGCCCGTCCTCATGTTTGCATTCACCATTCTGGAGACTTAAAGCCCCGGCCCCTCTGCCACATCCACCTCCCAGCCACGCTGCTGCCCGGCCCTCGGGTTCAGGGAACAGAGTCTGAAATCTCTGGGCAGCTGGGTGGCTCGGTGGTGGTCCCTGGACTCGGCAGGCTGTACCCGAGGCCCAGAGCAGCAGGGGCAGGGTGTTCAGAACAGGCCGAGTGGGAGATGGAGGGAGGGGCTGCAGCGCCCACCTCAGCTTAGGGGCAGCTGTGGCTTCTCCTCGCTGGCCAACTGGAAGGAGCTGTGGCTCAGAGGCCAGGTCCACGTTCCTAACCGAGAGGGAACCAGGACCTGGGCGGTGTGCGGGCAGCTGGGCAGCTGCTTTCCCGGCTTAGATGCCGCTTGCTCTGAGCYGGGAGCCTGCGGACTCCAGTGAGACCGGCAGGGCTGGGAGTGGGGGGGTCTGGGGCGGGCAGGGCCCGGCCAAGCCGTCTCCCCCAGATCCTCCTTTCCCCGCTCTTTTCTTGAAGCAGTCCGTCACAGAGACCCACCTTTGATTTGCTCCACTTCATCCTCAAATGTCACCGAGCTCCTCCTCTTGGGCGGACAGGTGCAGTGGGCGGGCGGGGTGTCCTCAGAGGCACAGTCTTCCAGCAGCATCACGTCTGTCCCTGAGGCGGAGGGTGGACTGTGCAGTCTGATAGCAACACCAGGTCCCCTCCCTCCCCACACCCCTCGGCCCTCTCCCTTCCTTCAAACCCTGGTCAGGGGCAGCTAACTGCCTGCAGCACCTCACTGCACTCTGGGGTCCGCACACAGCAGGGGGCGGCCTCCATACACAGAACCCGCCCGGTATCCCCCCTGGGCAGTGGGCTATGAGCCACCCGCACAGGTGCTGCCAGACTAGGAGGGGCAGGCGGGCAGGGCTGCGGGAGAGGGTCTTCTGGGTGACCCCTTCGGTGCCATGTGCCCATAGTTGAGACAAGTGCTACACAAACACGGAGACTTGGAAGCTTGAAGTTCTTAGGGAATCAAAAGGAAAAACAAAGGATTTTTGGGAGCGGCCAGTGGAACACCCCTGCCCAGGCCACTGCTGTGAGCTGGGCACTGCCGCCTTCACGCCCCAGCAGGACGAGTGACAGGTATGGCCAGTGCCCTGCTTCTTTCACTGGCCCCATGGAGACCCTGGCAGCCTTGGGGGGGGGGGGTTTCACCCAGGGCCACAGTCCCAGAACGGGGCTCATGGTGCGGGCCCAGTGGGCAGGGAGGGACTCAGCGAGACCGGGGGGGGGGGGGGGGGGGGGCTTGGGAGGTGCTTCTCCCAGGCAGCAGGCGAGGTGGACCCCAATGACAAGGCCACAGCTCGCTGGGGGCTTCCTCTATGCCAGGGACAGACGCCYTCTGATACAGGGGCTTCTGCCCCGCTTTGCCAAGTGGGGGCCCTCGGGTGCATGAGACGAAGCAGCTTGCCCAGGGCCAGCGGGAGACAAGGCCAGCAGGTGGACTCCAGGCCCTCTGGTCAGAGGTTATTAGAATTAGAAAACAAATTACTTTTGAATCAACTTCTCCSACACTTTCGACCACAGAGCCACCCCGTGCAGGAGAAGGCCCAGAGCTGCCTTCCCACAGGGCAACGGGGCACAGCGGCAGAAGGCCCCCCAGCAAGCTTACCCGAGTCCCGGGAGCAGCTGAAGCCAGTGTCGCCCGTGCTGCTGCTGTGTCCCAGGGGCTGGCCTCCTGCCATGAGTGCCGTGAGGTGCGGGGACAGGCCCAGGTCTGAAAAGCAACATGGGTGTGTGACACGGTGACCAGCAGCTGACCCCCACTCCCTTCTCCCCGGCCTCCCTGGCAAAACTCGCTCTGCGCCCTGGAGGAGACCTCCGCTGCCCCCCCACCCCCGTCCCCCTGCCCATCCCACTGGGACAGGCCTCGGGTCTCCACGGGGAGCCCGKGCAGTGAGGCGGGTGGGGGCACCTGAGGTAGCAGTCAGCCTGGAGGCCAGACCCCGGGTCCCCCTCCCGAAATCCTGCTCGAATACAAAGGAGGAGAGGATGCTGAGAGCTAGAAACACGCATAAGGATGGGACTCGGCCTGGGAAGGGGACCGAGGCGGCAGGGCAGGGCCAGCAGGCGTGGGCACCCGAGGCCAGGCGCTGCTGCAGGCAGGCCAAGCTGGGTCTCGGCCTCTCGGCCCTCAGCCTCGCTGCCCGACCCCGAGGGCTAGCAGAGGTGGGAGACACGGGCATGGCCAGGGTGGGCTGACACGGGGGACGCCAGGAGTGAGAAGTCACACTGAGCAGCCCCGGCCTCGTCCCACTGGACCCGCCAGGAGGACGGACCGAGAACCCCTCCCCAGGAGAAGCTAGCAGCCCTGGAGACGGAGAGCAAGAGCTGCCCCTCACCTGCCCAGAAGGACCAGGGCCAGGCCGAAGAGCCTGGGGGCGGGCCTGCAGGGCACCCCTCSGGCACCCCAGGCACCCTGCGGCATGGCTTCCCAGCCGCCTGCCCAGGCTGCGGTGCTGGACGGGAAGGGTCGGGCAAGTACGCRGCAGCTGGGAAGGCACCAGCAGGAAGATGGGGAGCGGGGGCCTGGGGAGACCTGCAAGGAGCTTAAGGAAAAGCCACCACGGGGAGCCCACCGAGCGAAAATAAAGTCTCCCTAAGACCCGGGGCCGGAGCTCCCGGAAAAGGACCAGGCCCCAAAGGCTCTGAGAAATTAAAACAGAAGACAAACGCAGAACTCCTGAGATGCCCAGGAAGACCTCCTGYCCAGCAGATGTGACGACTGCGTGGCTGGCATGGGTCCCCAAAGCTCGGGTTGGGAACGTCATCCCCAGGGCAGCAGCGTGGGGAGGCGGGGCCTGATGAATGGGTCAACCTCATTGTTCTAGAGGCTGGTGCGTGACCTCGAGAGTGGGTGTGGTGTCAAAGTGGGTCTGGCCTCAACTTGCTCTTGCTGTTCCATCTTCCGCCGCGGTAGGACATGGCACAGAGGCCCTTGCCCAATGACACCATGCTCCTGGGCTTCTCAGACTCCAGAATCATCCTTGTCCATTATAAACTATCTGACCTCAGGTGTTTTGTCACAGCAGCAGAAAATGGTCTAAGACAATGATCTACCTTAAAGACGCTCTTGTATTCTATCATACACTCCCAGGAGAAGACCTCAATCTTTGATTTCTTCCTCGTGCCTCTGAGGGTACAAAGTGTCAGAATGTACTATTTCCTTTCTTCTCTGGAGCCAGGGAGGAAATGGTGGTGGCCACGGAGCGTCAGTCCCAGCAAGCTTCCCTCAGAACTTTCTTTTCATCACCTCTGGGAACCCCACAAGAAGATGCACTTTTGCTCTCCCCATTGTTGGGTGTTGGTTACAGGCTGGGGCCAGAGGACACCCAGCACCTCCCTGCACCTGGCCACTCCCCCAGGTCTGGGTGCAGATCACGGCTGTGTTCAACAGGAGGCCTGGTGTGGAGAGCAGCACCGCAGGGCCCCTGCCAGCTGCAGGGGTGGACGCCACATGGGTCTGGACACTATCTCTGAGGCCGTGGCAAATGCCTGGAACGTGTCTCAGCGTCCACCAGCGGGAGGACCATCTGTGCCAGACCACTGTGGCTGGGCACCAGGTGGCATCGCTGCTTACCCAGCACTTCCCGCCGGAAAGTCCAGGCACCCTGCAACGTTCTCCGAGGAACGACACATCTCTGGGGCCCAATCCAACCCCTAAAAAAGCAGCACAGTGGGACGGGCCCTGGGCTTGCGGCTCCCGGGAGCACGTGGTGGGTAGAAGCCACTGATCCTTTTAGAACTGAAACCACGACAGAATTCCAGGGTGAAGCAGGCACCTGCAGGAACCCGGAACCCAAAGGTGCCACCAGGAAGCTACTCAGAAAAGCAAAGGGGCAAGTTCAAGGGCTCCCTCACCTCCCCCCAGCCCTGGCACCTCAAAGGGCCYGATGGGAGGCAGCAGCCTCCTTCTCAGGAGGCCAGCGGGAGGTTCTGTCTGCAGCCACAGGAGCCCGGAGCGCCGCCCCAGGTGAGGGCACCTGTGTCCGGCCGTGCTCCCAAGGCCTGGCGCTGCAGGCGGAAGGGCTGCCTGCTCTCCCAAAGGCCCCTCCTCCCTCTGCCTGCCAGCTTTGGACTTGGGGTGAGCAGCCGAARGCCAGTGTTGGCATGGGGCACACCTTTCATCACTCGAAGCCAAGGTGCACTCAGGGTGACCCCCCGCCACCATGAGGYGCATTGCCACAACCTCCAGGAGGCCCAGACACCTCAGCTGCTAGGTGGGACCCCAGTGAGAACATGCCGGTGACCCCACAAGCAGAAGGTCTGGTGGCCCAGGGGCAGATGGTACCCCACGGAAAGCTTCCACTCCAGGCAAACAGAAATGAGAGACTGAACCCACGGATGGTGGCTGAGTCCTGCAGCCTGAGGGGTCGCTGTCACGTGAGGCCTCCCAGTCAGCGGGGACTCGGGGCACTGCGGAATGTGCTKCTGCCTTTGCACCCTGTCGGTGAAAGCTTTCCAGGTGCCCTGCAAAGGGACACCCACAGGACCAAGACAGAGCCCCAGGGCACTCTTGCTGGCTCTGGAATGGATCAGACCATCCTTCCCCACAGGAGCTCTGGGGCACTCCGGGGGACAGGAGGGGGCCCAGAGGCAGGTTTGTGGCAGGAAAGACCTCTGGGTTTAGGGATCAGCTGCAGGCCAAAGCCCTGCCACAGAGAGCTGAGACAGGGGCACCAGCKTCCTGCCTGGTCAGTCAGGGCGCGCGGCTCCTACCGCTGCCGCTGCCTCCTGCTGCCATCAGGCCCTGCCAGGAGGAACCAAGGGACTCCCCAGGTCCTGTCCCTGGAGGAGGCCAAGGACTCGGAGCCCATCATCCACGAGCTCTTCCACCCCGAGGCACCCACAGGACAGCCCTTCACCACGTGGGACAGAGGGCAGCCACTGGCTGGCCCACCCCACCACAGCAGCTGCTCTCCACTGGCCCGGTCAGAGCCGCGGGACCCCGAGGACAGTCATGGCGAGGCGCCTGGGAACTGGGCAGCGAGCAGATGCCCCATCGGCTGCCCCCTCCCCCCCATCCTCCTTGTTTCCTGCCTCGTCCTCAAGTTCGCGGGAACAGAAAGCGCCCATCGTTTCTGCCTGGAAGACGGACTCTGCAAAGTCCGAACACATGGGGCGGCCAGCGGAAGGACGCCAGCACAGGGTCCTGCCGGCGCCCAGGTCGCCCTGCACAGGCGGGAGCTTCTCTCCATGACTGAACTAAAGCCCTCACTCGGAAAACGCCAGGAAAGCCCTCAGTGTGCCCTGTCACCTCTGCCACTGAGTGTCCCTGCCACGAGGAGTCACTTCTTTCTCCCTCTTGAGGGGGAGTGGGGACCCCTCCATTTCATGAGGGGAAATTCACGGCGGGTGGAGGAGCTGCCCAAAGTCGCCTGGAGGTCAGACCCCAACCCGACTGCGCCCTGGAGCTGCTCCCGCCGTGGGCCGCGTGGCCTCCTCAGAACTCCCAGCTGCCTCCCCTCCGAAGAGCAGAGCGACAGCCGCCGGGCAGGACCCACAGGACCCACAGCCGGAGCCACCGCAGCTGGAGGAAGGAGAAGGGTGACTAACAGAGATGCCACGGAAGTCACCAGGGGCCCAGCGCTCGGCCAGTGCAGGACCCGGGGCCATGGCCAGCACATTCCCGCCCACGTCCAGTCTCCCTGCTGGGAGGCAGGCTCCACAGGGCCCGGTGAGCCTGGTGACCCCGGCTGCGGAGCTCCTGTACTGTGTCCCACGCTCCTGCAAGCCTAAAACTGTTTCAAAAGCGAGAGAAACCTGAGCCCTGGCGGGTAGGCTCCCTCTGGGTCTCAGAGTGTGGTGAGACTGACCGGGGTCAGCTGGCAGAGGGAGGGCCAGGTGGTCCTCCTGGTGACATCTCAGTGAAGGGCTGAGTCTGGCACTGGGAGACCCCTGGCCTGGGAGGGAGGTCGGGGTGAGCAGCTGGCTGGGCAGGGAGCCAGGCAGGGGACGCAGCGAGGGGAGGGGGCGGGCAGGCCTGGCCGCACAGACCCCTTCTCTCCACAGGAAGCAACTGCGCGGAGACCAGGGCCCCAGACCCGGCTTTGGAAGACAGAGTTCCACATCCTGGTGCCCTTGGCCTAACTCTTCTGAAACTACGCCGGCCTCCTGGGTGGCACGAAGGTGTCTGGGATCCCAGGGACAGGTGTGCTCCTGACCCACAGGAAACCTGGGCTTGGATTTTTTTTTTTTTTTTTTTTTGTACCAGGGATTGAACTCGGTGGCACTCGGCCACTGAGCCACATCCTCGGCCTATTTTGCATTTTATTTAGAGACAGGGTCTCCCTGAGTGGCTTAGCACCTCACTATCGCTGAGGCTGGCTCTGAACTCATGATCCTCCTGCCTCAGCCTCCCAGTCCCTGGGATCATAGGCCTGTGCCACCGCGTGCAGCCAGAAGTCTGTGCTTTGAGCAGGAGGTGAGGCCACAGGAGAACCCGCCCAGCACAGAGCATGGTGGTGGGTCCCTTCCTAACTCCTCCCAAGTCACCTGTGATCCTGTTGGAAATGCTGAAGAGCCTGGAGGTCCTCTGCCGCTGGACGAAGGGCTCCCTGTAGTAGCGGTCCCCACAGCACATGCCCAGGAGCTCCTTGCGGACAGTCTTGTTCCAGAGCCCGTAGATCAGGGGGTGGCAGACAGCACTGGTGAAGGACAGCCAGGTGGCCCAGGTCTCCAGGGCTGGGGAGACATAGTTCTTCCCCCAGAGGGCCTCGGAGGTGATGACCACCATGTAGGGGCCCCAGGTGACCATGAAGGCACCGATGACCACCAGGATGGTGACGAGGGCCTTGCACTGGTTGGCCGAGTAGGCCACTCCCTGGAAGGCGCTCCTCCTGCTGCCCGAGGACGAGGTGGAGGTGCTGGAGTTCTTCCTTCCGCTCCTGCCGGCGTCCTCCTCCAGGATGACCACCGTGCCACAGTGCACCTTGCGTGCCTTGACCCTGGCCACGCGGAAGATGAAGCCGTAGCACACCAGCATGACCAGAAAGGGGAACAGTGCGCACCAGATCTGCCAGAAGGCAGTGTAGCCGGGCTCCCGGTGCCAGGCGGCCACGCACATCCACTTGAACTCATCAAACTCCACCGACGACCACCCGAACAGCGGGGGCAGGCAGCCCACCAGGGAGTGCAGCCAGACGTAGACCAGCGCCAGCACGGCCCTGTTGCCCGTGATCTTCATGGGGTACACCATGGGGTACAGGACGGCATAATAGCTGGAAGAGGGCAGGGAGGCAAGAGAGGGCGTCAAGGGGGGTGGCACCTGCTCTCAGGGGCCCCACGCCCTCGGCCCACCCAGCCCTCCCCACAGGAGTGGCCGGCCGTCCATCACACAGCTCTGCAGGCCCTTCGGCATGGGCCAGCGGGCACTGGGSGAGCAGACCTTGGAGGTGCTGCTTCCAGGTGGCCTTCCGCATCCTGGCGTCCCCGGCCTAACTCTTCTGAAATACGCTGCCTCCAGGAAGGTGCCTGAGATCCCAGGGACACGGGTGTGCTCCCTCCCCACAGGAAACCTGTGCTTTGAGCCAGAGGCGAGGGTACAGTCCTGGGGAACCCACCCACCAACAGAGCAGCACTTGCAGGCACCCCTGGGCCTCTGCAGGGGGTCACAGAGCTGCTCTTGCTGATGGTAATCCAGTGTCCAGGATCTTAAAGAACCCAAAGGTTGCCGGGCGGGTGGTGCATGCCTGTAATCCCAGGGCTGGGGAGGCTGAGACAGGAGGATCACGAGTTCAAAGCCAGCCTCAGCAGTGGTGAGGCACTAAGCAACTCCGTGAGACCCCATCTCTAAATAAAGTACAAAATAGGGCTGGGGATGTGGCTCAGTGGTCGAGTGCCCCTGAGTTCAATCCCTAGTACGCCCTCCGCCCTGAAAAAAAAGAACATGAAGAACGTGGACAGTGCTCAGTGGACACTTCCTGAAAGCCCGCTGTGTGTGGCCTGGACATATAGGTGAGGAGCAGCGGCGGGGAAGGCAGACGGGCGGCAGCGGGGCTGGGAGTGGGACAGGCCAGACCTCCCAACTGTGAGCTGCGGTGTGTGGCTCTCCTTCCACAGGCAAGGCCCCTGGAGAGTACAGGGCCCGCCCGACCAAGAGAAGAAACAACGTAAACGCAGGCCACCTGACCCTATGGTCCCCACCGCACATGTGAGCTGTGCCTGGCAAGCCACCTTGTTCCAGAGTCCGGGGACCAGGGACGGGGCGGGGCCCCAGTCRGCTCCACAGTGGAGAAGGTCACAGACCCAAGTCAGAGGGGCGAACAGGCCTCCTGAAGGGGCAACACCGACACCCAGGCCTGGAAAGGTGGGGGACACTGCCCAGGCCAGCCAGGCAGAAAGCGAGCCGGGCAGGTGTGCGGGCAGGTGGAAGGGCAAGCTGGTGCCGCTCTGTCAGGAAGGGCACAGCGGGCAGGGGTGGGACACGAGATGCAGAGGGTGGGCAGGCGGCGGCGGCCAGACGGCCCAGACTGGACCTTTAACTGGGAATGGGCACTGGTAAAGGCCAGCCATGTGGTCTAACTCAGACCTCGGGGCTGGAGTAGCCCCGTCCAGACTTCCCTCCAGGGCACCGCCGCTTACGTGAGCAGGACTTTCCTGTGAGGACGGCGTGGGGGACAGTGTGGCCAGACCAATGCTGCCCTAAGCAGCAGGATGCAGAGAGTGACCCTAACTCTCTGAGACACCCTCCAGCAGCACTTTCTGCGTCACCCTTGGTCCCAGAGCTGAAGTGCCACCTGCCTCCAGGACAGGCTGCCTCTAGGAGAGGCTGCCTCCAGTGTCCCCACAGCTCAGMGGGGCTGCTCGGATCTGGAGCCCAGTCAGGCCAACATCCGGCCTGGGGAGAGGGCCCTGCCGCAGCTGCCGCTGCACCCACACGTGGGTCTGCCTCTGCAGAGGGTGTGCAGCTGGGGAGGAGATGCCTGGGAGCCAGCTCTGCTCCCAGCAGCTCTGCTCCCASCAGCTCTGCTCCCACCAGCTCTGCTCCCACCACTGTGCAGCCACCACTATGYTCCCACCAGCTCTGGTCCCACCAATGTGCTCCCACTGCTGTGCTCCCACCAGCTCTGGTCCCACCAGCTCTGCTCCCACAGGCTCTGCTCCCACAGGCTCTGCTCCCACCAGCTCTGCTCACACAGGCTCTGCTCCCACCAGCTCTGCTCCCAC